GCAGTGTACAAAAAAAATACTGAGATGCGGGGTGGATTCTTAGAAGGAAGACCAGCGTTGCTTCTTAACGATAGGTCCAAAGAGTCGTAAGACAGAAAAGATACCCATCCAAGCGTTGGCAGAAGATAAGAGCTACAGAAGACCTATAATAACTGTTTACAGAAGCTGCAGAAGCTTGCTAAAGTTGCCGTAGCAAAGCTGTAGGATACGGAAATGGATGCCTTGACGAGAATCTTGATAGACAAGAAGGAGGAAGAGTGTAGAAAAAATGTATATTTCGATCGTTTTTCGAATTCTCTTCGAGAATGAACTGTTCCAGAACAGCTGGTCTTACTGATAGGTCCATGACAGCTATATGCACCCCTCTTTTTACGGCTTGGCAGAAGCAATAGACGTTACAGGTGGGGTATACTAAGGAACAATTCTTAGTCCGTTCCTCTTTCTTGGATGTGCTCCTAGACAAAGAAGTCCACCGTGAGAACAGTTTCCAGGCAAAGGCGACGCCTGGCTCCATCGCACTCTTCACAGAGGATGAAGTTTGACAAGCAATAGCAAAGATGAAGATGAGAAAGCAACCGAATCGGATGGGGTACAGAAGCATAAAAGACGGTAGGGCAAGGAATCAATTGGTTTACCCGATTCTTTAGTACTGTGTCTACTAAAGGAAAAGTCCAAAATGCGTGAAAATCATATCATCGTTCCCATTTCAGGCAGAACAAGAACATGGTTGAGCTCTTTTTATTTATTGCAAGACCAGGTTGACGGCTCACATGTATGAAACACTGTACGAGCGTTTAGCAGTTTGGCTTCATGTCATGTAAGATTACAACGAATGCTACTTCGTAAGCAAGATGGAGAAGTGTCAAAAAGAGCATAGATTCTGCAAGTCTGGTCTTCCTCGACTGAAAACTTCCGATCGCCTGTGCATACCAGCACGCTTTGAGGGCAAATTGTTTGAAACATCTTATTTTCCTCATCAAAAATCTGTACGATAGGTCTCTGACAGTAATACGCACTCCTCACCTCACGACTTGGCAAAAGTAATAGACGTTACAGATTGGGTACGTTAAGAATCAGTTCTTGGTCCGTTCCACTTCCTGGTTACCATGAATGTCATTATAAAAGAACCCATTGATGGAGCCCTCACACTCTGTGCTGAAGATATTGCTGCACCGCTTCGCTAGAAGACAATACGTAGAGCCTCCTATAAGCTGCAGAGAAGATAGAAAGGAATGGGTTTGAGCTACATCCGAAAAGTACCATGCTAGCTCCGAGTAGTGCGCAGAGTCAATCGCAAACGGCCTTGGTGAAGTCATTAAATGGGCCAGGATTCCCGACACTTTGAATATCTAACCGCTGACGCTCTAAAGGCTCGAATGAAACGGCTTGGTTGGATTGGAGGGAGTTAGTTACTGTTCTCTGCAACCGACATTGCTCCTCGTTACTGTTGGATGCGATTGGACAAGGTCAGGAACGAGGACGTTGAGGGTGTCCAGATAACAGCCCCTGTTCAGTTGTAGATGTGAAAGCAGCCTGTGCGATGGTATGTTTACGTTCCGAGTAGGCCGCCAAACCACCTGTTAAGGAAAGCAATGGAGCTCGAAGATTTAGGAAAGCGATAGAACAGCGGATATTGCGACGGCAAGGGACTAACGTTAGAAAGAAGATGATGATGAAGAAACAAGATCTCAAAAGAAGGAAGTGGTCATGAGCTATTAGTATCACTTTTCTCGCTTGTACGGGAGACTAGAGCGCCTCCAAATCATACCAATACTCGAAACTTTTAGTTGCTATTGGTAAGAAATTTTCTTCTTTACTATCTGTTCGGCTAAGGGCAAGCTTCAAACGTAGAGGGAGTAGAGGGTACAAGATACAAGCCAAACAGGCCACTGAAAGGATGAATCTCTTAGTGCTTCAGCTACCCGT